AAGTCCAGTTGTTCTTCACGTCATGTCCTGGATGACTGAAGCTTCAGCAGCATCTTTTGTGCAGCATCACCTCAACTCTGGATCGGTGTAACGTATCGAAGATAAATGAGTAAAAGTTAACGAGACTCTGAAACGATTAGTTTTTATGTTTCTGGGTTTAACTTAAATCACTTTATGGATGTTCAAGCACTGAATTCAGCTGTGAACCGTCACAACAGCTGAAGAATTATTACTCAGAATTATTATCACAATGTTATAAAAGATGAGGAGGAATCTGAATTTACTTTTTAAATTTTATTACAAAAATAATTATTCAAAGTAAGAATCAACAACAACAATAAACAAACAGTGTAAAGGATAATAATTTGTAGAATAATGTTTGAAAAATAAAAATAATGAACAATCAAGGCTTCTGTTTCATCTTGGTTCTTTGAGCAGGAATTATTTCATCTTTTATACACAACATTAGACAAAGTTCAACTTTGGATGTTTGTTAAAAGACGTTATTGACTGTGACCACATCACGTGTTTCATCACTGCAGGCCAGGAAATGATTGATAAGTTGCATCAGCTAAATGACTCGACCACAGACACCGAGCCACCACAGCCTCTGTGTGGAGCAGAACCCTGGAAGAGCACATGGTGGGGGGGCCTTGCTCAAGGGCCCAGGGTGGGGCAAATGAGGGTGGAGGCAGGTGTGAGTGTTTCACCTTTCCCACCCACATTATACCATACCATACCACTTTATTTATAAAGCACTTAAAACAGCTACACGGCCAACCAAAGTGCTGTACAGACAGAACAACAGGTAACACACAAAGCAAAATACAAAATGAGGTAAATCAGAATATAGACATAAAAACGATGCAGATAATGACGACAAACCAGTGTGGAGCATACAGGATCAAACACAGATCATCTGGTGTTGAAAGCTGCTGAATAGTAGTGAGTTTTTAAACGGGACTTGAAAACCGAGAGGGAGGGGGCCTGTCTAACAAGCAGAGGTAACTCGTTCCAAAGTCTTGGTCCTGCTACAGAGAAGGTCCTGTCACCTCTGCGCTTAAGACGAGTTCCTG